AATAATTTAAAATATGTCGATCGAGATTCTATTACAAGTAGTCTTAATTCAATACCAACACGAACACGTACAGTTAATAATAAATTTTATGATCATCCAATTATTGATAATAAATATGGATCACCATTATCACCAACAACTATGGTTGTACCAATAAATAATAATAAAAAAAAGACTGAAAATGATGATGAAGAAGGAAATGAATCACCTGTTTATTCAACAACAACTGATGTTTTATCTGAAAGTGGTTCATTTCTTGTTCCAACATCATCATTATCAAAACGATGTATACCACCTCAAACTAAACCACGTTATTCAACATTAAGTTCACTTCGTTTACCTATTGAAAATCTCGATAAAAGTCCATTACCATTACCTAAACCACGTTCACGTTCAAATTCTCGTACACGTTTAAATAATCCAAATTCTGATAATTCATCATTTTTATATGAAGAACGTCCAGTTTCATCAACAGATTCTGGTATGGGTCAATCTGATGTTGTTTGTTTACCAAATGGTGATACAATACGTTCAGGTCTTGTTAAATCAAGACAAAATAGTTTACAAAAACATTATGTTACTCCATCTTCTATTCAACAACAACCAAAATATCAAACATTAACATCACCAGTTGTACATGGTACTGAATGTTAAATCTTTCTTGAGATGGGTTTTCGTTTTTTTTTTTTTTTTTTTGTATAGATTTATATATAAAGTTTGTTTTGTTTTCCGTCGATTTCTCTTCATACAAATCTCTTTATATGCATGTATCCAGTTAGTATTCTATTTTAAGAACTAACGACAGTATTTCATGAAAAAGACAAATTTTAGCAAAAACAAATAAGATAAACTCGTGATTTTTTTTTTTTGCATTCGTTTGTTATTATATGCAGTTTATTGTCTTTTATATACATATATGTGTCTCAGTGCAAGTGTGCGCGTGAAAATTTTTTGTTTTGTTCTTTATTTCCTGCTGTTGATTAGCTTTGTTTTGATTTATCTGATTTCCTAGTTTTTTTTTTTTTGCCCTTTGTATTTGTGTTTAAAGAAAAAAAAAGAAAAGAAAGATAAAACTTAGAATTGAATGAAACAATATATTATATAGTTGAATGATGCATGTAAGATTATCAGCACGTTTTCGACCTCCTGTCAAATTCTAGATCTGAATAGGTCGATTTGTGTAATTACGGATGCTCTCGCACATGTTAACTGTTGTTCCGAAGAGTATCTCGAGAATCGCAAAGACTCTGTTTCGCTCATACCTATCATTCGGCACATAGTGTACAGAGATGTCCATGATGGCAGCAGTTTTTTTTTCGAGACCATTGAAAAAATCCATGAGTTTGATAGAATTTTAGTGTTTACAAATGAAACACTCTGAGATTTAATAAATCTGATGGATTAGTAACAATATTTATTTTACAATTCATTCAGCCGCGATAGACATCTCTGATAGTGTATGAGATACAACTCCTTCGATCAGAAGATTGTGACTATTTTTTATTATGTGGATATTGTTTTTGTTTACATGACAACTTCGAGTATGCTTTGACGTGATAACCCATGTGATCGAAATTGAGTAAAAAATCGGCGATTAATTGTGATTTTTCATGTGACATTTATGATAATAGGATCTAGTCGTAATGTTCGAGTCTAAGACTATGGCTGTCTCGACGGATATACGACCGTCTTTTATCGTCGTACTCATAAAAGTTTCTTGTGAATGAGGAGAGAAGGATGATTTTGTTCTTCGTCAAATGCTGTAAATAATAAAATAAAATATATAATTTTTTATTTATAAGTACTTAATATTCATTTTGATCTTGAGATTGATTGAAATAAAAAGCAGCAAAATTTTTTTTCTAAATAAATATTTACTGTTGAAGTTTTATTGTAAAATTGTCGATTAATCATCAAAACTTAAATTGTATGCATGTGTTTAGTGCAGTCGATATTACGAGAAATCATTTCTGTTATCCTTGTTTGAGAATGAAATGCTTTTATTATGAATGCAGCTTGTTTTCTTAATTGCTTAAGCTTTTGAACAATGATTCGAATATCTGGTGATGGTGATTGAAACTACGTATGCGTGTTGATCATCTGCCCTCGCCATTTTTCTAGATCACCTATAATCTTATATTGCCATTGCTTTTCGATACCGACGTTCCGAGGCTATTTGAATCATCGATGGTTCGTTGTAGCTAAAACTAATCATTCGGCTAACATGTCCAAACCAACGGATTGGTTTCGCATTAGTATACTAGATAAATGACTATTCTACTTTTGTTAGATTCTATATTCAATACATTCATAAGAGAATTTACAATCAATTTCATTGTTCTTAAAAAATTCCTTGTCATACGGAAGATGTCGCTAAAAGTCAAGGATATCAACATGAAAAGACCTGAAGATTTCAAACTAATTTTCTTCATGTTTTATCTTTTACATTAAAAACTTATTCTTACTATTATTTATTAATTTTAATATTAACATATTTCAAAACATTTATTATTATTGACAATCTATAACTGACAGAATGGTGATCAACAACCAATAGAAAAACGTCCACGCATACACTCTTTCATTGTAACACTCATATTGTCTTGCTTAACTAGATTACGTCTACAATATATCAATTCTTTTGTGTTGACCTTTTTTTTTGTCCACATAGAATTCTTACTTGTAAAATAATTATTTATTTATAGATTTTATAGATAAAAAAACAAAAAAAAAACAATGCTTGCTGGACCACGTCCAAATTTTAATACTGGCCCTCCTTCACAATCAATGCAACAACAATCACAACCACCATCTCAAATGTATCCAAATCAATTTCAAGCACCCACTCTACCACCTAATTTTCCAGGCGCTCAACAACAACAACAACGTCCTATGTTACCACCCAATTTTCCTGGTAGTCAACAACAACATCAACTACCACCATCATCAAATCAACAATCTTCATCACAACCACATTATCCTACAGGCAATCAACAACCTCTACCACCACCACAATATCAATCACAAGTATCCAATCCTACAGGTGTTCAACAAATACCACCAGGACAATTCCCATCACAGCCACCTCCTTTAGCAACTAATCAACAACAATTCCCATCACAACCACC